TCCAATGGAAGAACATTTAAGAAACAAGAAAGGCACCCAATCATGGCCGCTCTGCACCAAGCATAAAGTACATTCCAGGCCAACAGAAAAGTGATGGTCCTCCCTCAAAGCCTGTGGCACAGCACAGATGAGAGCTCAGAGCCAGTGGGCCCAGATAATGCATCACCAGAGGTGGTGGGCGCCCACATGTGCACGCACACACACTAGCACACAAGTCTGCACAGACCCCAGCATGGATGGCCATGCACCCTCTTCTAGACAGAGCCCTTTGAGCTGCTGTCCCTTCAGGGAACTTGCCCTGCCAATGACACACAATCTTGGAAGTCACATTATCTTGCTGCCCCTCCCTGGCCTTCTTGTTGCACTTCTGATGTGCTTCCTTCCTTCTGACTTGATACGCCAAACACAGGCCCACCCACTCCCCAGGGTTGACTTCACCCTCAGGAACGCAAAGGTGGCTCTCAGCCCTCCCACCCGTCTGACCTCCAGCTCTACCCTCCAGAACCCTGTCTCCTTCACCACCAAGGCTATCTGAAGGCAGAAGGGAGCACTCGGGAGCTCCCCATCCTCCTACTTCCCCAGGCTGTGAAATGGATCACAGAGCTAGAAGTTGGCATGTGACACCAGCCCTCCACTTACTGGCTGTGAAAGCTCTGAGTTTCTGTGTTCTGCAAGGTCATGATGAAGATTCCGTAAGAAATACCTGCAAAGCCCTGTGACAAGCCCCATGCTTTTATTATCTGTCCTTGATGTTACCTCCCTTTGCCCTCATCCCATCACTTCCTCTTCTAAGTAAGAGGTTCTCCTTGAAGTCTAATCTCGAGGCTCCACACCACTTCATCGGAGTCTGGGGACCGAGGTGAACACAGGAGGCTCAAACTGGCTGGTTGGAAGAGCCACCTCCCTGCAAGAGGACAAGGCCAAGAGGGAGATTAAAGAGGCGCCGGGCCCAGGGCTGCGACATACACCTGCCACAACTCCTGGGAGATCGGGGACCTGCCAATTTACCCCACCCCATGAGCTCATGGCTGCATCTGCCAGACACTGGCTCTGGGAGCAGGTGCTGACAACACGGCCTGGGCACAGAGCCCAAGGACAAGAAGGTAGGAAGGCTGCTGAGAGCCAACAACAGAGCTGACTCCACAGGACTCACACACAGCCTCCCTCCAGCCTCCACATAGGCCCTGTGGCCACTGACCCGCCACCTCTGCTCCTCTCAGGCCCCCTGGTACTGCCCAAGGCCTCACTGCCTCTGCCCTCTCCCCAGAGACAAGGGGTGAGGGCAGGACAGCTCACTCTTCTTCCCTGGAGGCCAGGCTCCCCTGTGAGCTGACACGGGATGGAATGCCCTTATTTTAAGAGTTTTCTGGGCAGGAGAGCTAAATGCTGTCATTCCTGAGGTCACTGTGGGCATGCCCTTAAATGGCAGTTATAAAGTGACTGCAAATCCCCAAATAGATGTCTCTGTCCCAGTTTTGAGGCATCCCTAGAGGTAGGACAAACAAGGAGTCAACCCCAGCCCCAAATTTCTTCTGAGTCTTGACCTTCAACCCCTTCTTCCTCAGCCAGTTCCTGGATACATCTTCTCAAGTAATCCCCTTAATAATCCATGCCTGGGTCAAGAGATCCCTCACCAAGCCCTGGTCAGACCCATAGCTACAACCTGAAGCTACCTGAACCCAGAAAGGGAAAACAGCTGGTAGCCACAGGGGATGAATGTCAGGGGCTCCCGTGTCCCCCGACTTGTAGCCAAAGGCCTCAGGTCAGCCTAGGGCTCTACCCATGCTCTTTCTACTTCCCTCTGATAGCACAGCCAGACGGTTGCATGTCCCAGCTCCTGTCCCCACCAGGGAGCTCCTACTGGCCCCCCAGCAGCCCGTTCTGCCTCTCATGGCCCACCCCTGCTGCCACCCCAGGCTAGCTGTCTCTCCCTCTGCACTCACCTCCTCAGTCCTAGGGCTGGGGCCACCTATGCTCCCACCTAGGACCACCATGAGATGTATCCATCTCCCTGCTCACCAGAGAAGTCCTTGAAAATAAGCAGGGTCTCTCCCTCATACAATGGCCTACCACACAGAGACCACACATGTGCAAGCGTGCGCACACAAACACACACATGGGCGACCGTGGGCACTATGCTTTCTCCCCACCCCTTCTGGAAAGGAAGGGGTATGCTCAGGTCTCCTCCAGTTCAGGTATCTGTCTATCTGTGGTTTCTCTTCACTTCCCAGGCAAAACAACAACCCCGAAGCAGTCGGGCACTGACACAAGCCGCTGGGCCCCCTGACTCTTGAGTAGGGAGGTAGTGGCTATAGGATCATCCTTGCTCTCTTCCCAGAATCTCCCTCCACCCTCCTCAGGGAAGCCACACATCTCCCTCCTCCCTCTCCCCCATACTCCACACTCCACAGAGAAGACAAAATCCCTGGAGAGGAGGACCTGACTCAAGGCCACACCACATTTCCCTGTCATTTTCAAGTGGCACCAAGTGGGCCAGGCAAGCATTTGGCTGGACAGTCCCCACCCAGGAGGCAAGGTGAATTCCCAGGGTAGCAGGTCACTGAGTTGGGTCTCTGGGGTGGGGTCCCTAGGGATCGGCCCATTGTGGAACAAGGACACTGTGATGCCAGCTGCCCCCACCTTCCCCTCACCCCAAGAAAAGCTTTGTCCCTCCCAAGCCATTCTACACTTCCCCCATTCTCAGATGCTTTCCCTGGCCAACCCCACCCAACGCTAACCACAGGCTTGCTCAGAGTCCCCTCAGCATTTAGATCTGAAATTACCTTGTGCCCATTTGCTCCAGTTTATATGTTATTCTGCAAAAGTTCTCACAGAGCTATGCCTTCCATGGCCATCACTACTAGTAGTTGTGAGAGTTCCCAGCACTAATTAAGCCCATTTTGCTAGAGGATTAGTCCCTACCCTTAAGGAGTGCCAGGGAAGACTCTGGAATCTAAGCCACATCTCTCTTGGTGCAATTTTTTCCTCTTGATAATCAAATAATCTCACTCAATGCCTGATTAAACTTGATGCAACTCCCAACAATGAGCAGCTTCTCCCTACATTCAAGTTCTCACTTTGATTGTTGGGAAGGCCAGGTTCAGGCTGGGGCAGGAATCTCTAGGGGACATTTCTTCCTTGAGAGTACTGCAAACCCTCCCAAGACCAGGTCACCAGCCACGCACCTGTAATCCCAGCAGTCTGGAAGGCTAAGGCAGGACCATTGCAAATTCAAGCCACTGTGCACAATCTAGAAACTTAGCAAGAACTTGCCTCAAAAAAAAAAAAGTTAGAGGCTGCAATGTAGCTCAGTGTAGAATCCCTGAGTTTAATGCCCAATACTGGGGGTGGAGGGAAGTGGGATTTACTCTTCCTGGCCTCAGGAACTCAGCTGCCCAATGCTGTGTCTCCACCAGCACCCAGGACTCCCTCAGAGGCCCCAGCAGGCTGCAGGGAGATAGAGCCAGGGTGGAATCTCGGCTCCTGATTGTGTGGACTCAACTGTTCTGGAACTCTATTTCACTTTTTGGAAAAACGAGCACAGTCACAGGAACACTGAGGGGTGGTAAATGTTGGAGCTGAGAAGCATCAATCCCCTCAGTGAGCACGGTGCTATTTGCTATTTTCGTGCAGTGGCCTCCCAGCCCCAGTCCACCGCTATTATCCTCAGTGAGGCCCTCACTAAGGGTGGGATGGGGATACTCATGAGGGGAAAAGACTACCCCTGAGATTCAGGCCTGGGATTTCCCCCCACCCCGCTCTTTGGTGTGCTTCTGTAGGAAGCATTTTCTGAGGCCCTCACCCCACCCGTGGGTCTGGCTGGCTAAGGAGGAGAGGAGTAGAGTCACAGGAGAGGGAGTAGGGTTCCTTAGGTTGGTACAGATCCACAGGAGGGGCCCATGGGATGGTCCTCCCTGCCCCCCATCCAGCACCTACCTCCACCCTTCCTGTTGCTCCTGGATGCCAAGTTTAGACGGCGTGCAGGCAAATGTCAAAAGCAGGGACTCCTGGGGGTGGTTGGTGCAGCAAGGCATGTGGCTCCAGCTGATTCTGAGCCCCACCACTTGGGGCCCAGTCACTGCAGACAGCACACATAGGCCCTTAGTCTAGGCTGTGTGGTGGAGCAGAGGAGCAAAGCACAACCCAAGGTCCCTACTGTCCTGGTCTTGCCTGGAGTCAGTGGGTCAGGTGTCTCCAGCTTTTTAACCTGAACCAACTGTAAGAATCCCATGTTACACAGACACCAATGCACGCCTTCACAAACAGTCCTTTATAATGCATGGGGAGAGTGCCCATCCTCATGACTGCAGCCCTCCAGGGGTGTCCAACCTGCGGCCCGCCTTTTCTTTAAAGCCCTCATTTTTGTTTTGTTTTGTGAGTGATGAGGAAATGTCTTGGGCCACATATATAAAGTTTATATTATAGGGACCTGGGATTTAGCTCAGTGGTGTGAGGCCTGGCTCACAAGCACAAGGTCCTGAGTTTGATACCTGGCACCGTCAAAAAAAAAAAAAATAATAGATAGATAGATAGATAGATAGATAGATAGATAGATAGATATAGATATATATGATAATGTGTGTAAGTAACAAAACTTTCACATGTATACAACATTATTATTACAGCTTTTTTTTTTTTTTTTTTTTGGTACTGGGGATTGAACTCGGGTCCTTGCGCTTGCAAGGCAGGCCAACAAACCGCTGAGCTAAATCCCCGCAGCCCTAAAGAATTTTTTTAAAGGGGAGCAGAAAGGGGAAAAAAGTAAGCCATGTGTGGTACACGTCTATAGGAATTCAAATCTAGTCTGGGAAATTTAGTAACTTAGCACAACTCTGTCTCAAACATAAAACATTTTAAAAGGGCCAGGGATATAACTCAGTGCAAAGGCCCTGGGTTCAATCCCCAGTACTGCAAAAATTTTAATGTGTGATCGCTGGGTGCCCAGCCACAGCCTGTTTCCTGTGTGCAGCTTATTTGGTGCCCAGAACAACCCTCAGAGACAGGTGCTATCTGAGAGGAGGATGTGGCTGGCCACTTGCTCACAGACACCCACTTGTTTCAGGCGCGCAACCTTGAACTCAGACAACCTTTACAAGTCCCGATGAAGAAGGCAGAGTATGAAGCTCCAGGCCTAGCCAGGTAAACCTTCAGACCTGCAAGTGAAGCCCCAGCAGGGTGGGCAGGTCCGAGCCGTAAGAGTACGAAGGAAAGGCTGGGAGTTTGTGGAAAGGGGACAGTAACCCTTCCCCAGCTCCTCCTTCAGAATCCAGAAAGCCATTTTAACTTGTTTCAATACAACAGGAAGACTTGGTGGCAGGAGTGAAGCTTCCTCAGGGGCCTCAACCCCAGGCAGCTTCCCTAGGGGCCAGCCACCCACTGACGGTCCCCAGCCCCTTGCTCCCCAGAGGTAGCTCCAGAGCAGAGCACCTTGGGCATGACCTCGGGCACGGACAGCACTGTTCAGAAGGCTCATCGCCATTCTTCAAATAGCAAGGGGGTCTGGGGCTTTCCTGAGGGCAAGACAAACTCCAAGATGTGGGTGCCAATGCTGATCAGGCTGCCAGGTGGGTCCACTGCACCCCATGAGGAGGAGCATCGTTAGGCCCAGGCAACAGTCATCCCGCTCTGCTGAGACAGAGGGTAGGGCCCAGACGTGGGGCTTCCTGCCCAGGAATGCCACCAGCCAGCTGAAATTCCCAGCCCACGCAGCACCCGAGGGCTACGGGGGAGGGGTGGGGTTGGTGCTTCCCCCACCCCCACTGACACCCAGCGGAAAATGTGTTGAGCTCGTCAACATCTCCCCGGCCACAGGGCCAGTACCCCTTTGGCTCCTAAATGATGGGGCAGGAGCCAGGTCATTAGGCAGGGAGACTGTCATTAGTGCAGGTGATGCCACCGCGCACAGACAATGGCAAACAGTCATTAGCAGCTGTGTCACAGGGTGAAGCAATGCTGGTGGGGGAGGCAGTGCTGGCCCTGAACACACTCACACACAGGTTTACACACTTGAATGCTTACATTAAAACCAAACATGTGAGTAGACATACGGGCACATTCACACCTAGGGACTTAGACACACTTGCAAATCTGTACTCACACTCACACATGGGGGCGGGAGCGGGCATGTTTCACATTCACACACAGAGGTACACCAGACACGCTCACACGCTCATATGTCCACACACTGACATAGTCACACACTTGCACACTCACATTCACAGAATTCATAGAATGCTAGTGAGTAAATACATGTTTACATGCTCATACACTGGGACACAGGAGACACACGTTCACATGGTCACACTCACCCAGGCATGCACACCGGTGCCATGACAAGACACACATGCACACTCGCCTGGTCCACCAAGTGCACAGGGCCTTCAACACCCTACAGGACACCAGAGGGGCCTTTGGGTGCCCCCACAGCAAGACCCTTGACACCAGATGTCCCCCTGCACAGCGAAAGACACACACACTCTCCAGGGCTGAGAGGAAGGGCCCACACACCAACCCATCAGCCCATCACACCCACCTGCTCCAAAGGACCCAGCATCCCAGAGAGGGAAAACAACCCCAATGCAGGAGGGCCATCCACGGGGGCCCTGGGGCAGAACCCACTTGGGTTCACCTCTGCCCCCTCTCAACTCTCCCAGCCCCAAGGCCAGTTCTGACCCCGCCTTGCCTGGACCCTCACAAAATGAGCTGCAGTAGGCATGCTTCTAAGAACCCTGACCCTCACAGAAGAGGACAACAGGAAGGTGGCCTGGGGATCAGAAGAGGGACAGCAATGGAACCCAGAGTGTCCCAGCTTGGAATCACTCTCCCACCCTCCTTCCAGGGCAGTGTGGGTCAGGCTGCAGTGCTGGGGAAGAGAAGAGGCAGACAGAGGGTGGACAGAGCTCACTATCACTTCCTCCATCGGCCACTTACAGACTGAGTGTGTTCATTTCCTGTCACTACTATAATGATTTGCTATTAATTTCGTGTCCTAAGACAATATGATTTTCCTTACTTACTATTGATTTATATAAATTATGTTTATTCTTCCAGCTCTGGAGGTCAGATATCTGAAAGGGATCTTTCTGGGCTCAAGTCAAGGTGACAGCAAGGCTCTGCTCCTTCCAGAGGCCCCAGAGAAGAATCTAGGTCTTTGTCTTTCCAGGCTTTTCAAGGCCACCCACAGCCACTCCCGTCCATCTTCACAGCTAGCACAACCAGCAGAGTCTTTCTCATGTCACATCAGTCCTTGGAGTCTATCTTCCACATTTAACGGACCAGAGATGACATCCCCCACCACAGACAATTCAGGATCATCTCTAATTATTCACTTAATCTCATTTGCAAAGCCCATTTTGCCAGTATTAGGACTTGGACCTCTTCAGGGAGCTATGACTCAGCTTACCATGTTGGGTGACTTTGGACAAATCAAGTAAGATGCAGACCCTCGGTGTCTTCGATGACATACTGCAAATGGTCACAGGGATTTAAAAGCCACAGGGATGCTTGGAGCTCTACCTGCCATCCACAGCAGTGTCCTCCCCTCCTTTGGCTTCCTGAGGATGGACAGGGAGCAGCTTGCAGCAGGACAAAGGTAAGAAAACTCAGAAGCCAGGGAGGAGTCTATGTGGGCTTAGGCAAGGGTCGACAGCAAATAGGAACTGTGAGATGTAGATATTTGTGGGGATCCTTGCAGCAGGGCGAGGGTGAGGACCTGTGGCAGGGGTGCACACACCTGTGGTGACCTGGCCCAGAGGGCAAGGCACACTGCTTCTGTTTACTCCTGCCTTCCTCTCCTTCATCTGTGGCATGGGTTTCCAAGGCCCTGGGGCCAGCAGGCAGGTGGGAGGCCCTAGACCAGGTTGCTATTACCTTAGTAAGTGCATACTGTGGAACGATGACCAGGGAAGATACACCCCAAGTAGAGGAATCTCAGGCTGGAAAACAGTCATTAGTCCCCCATCCTGCCCAAAACTGTTTGCTCACTTAGGAGGCAGCCAGCGGCATGGCAGAGAGGAGCTGAGGTCATCGGGTTCCTATACCAATCCTGCTCCATCCAGTGGCACTGACAGGGTCCCTGACTGAGCCCACCTGTGCACACCGGCTGGCCCCCTAGACTGCGCCTCTGCTCACACACACCACTTTCTGTCACCCTTTGCAGCTCATGCCAACCCAGTTTTTATCCCACCTTCCCTGCTTCCTCCAGAAACTCAGAGCTTAACTGGGCTGGGCACTAGATTATGTGGCAGAAGATCTGGGTGCAAAGCCCATTGCCCTGCAAAATGGAGGCACAATGATTTGGGGCCTGCCTGGAAGTGCAGGAGGGTGACACCAGTGACATGGGTGAGCAGCGATAAGCCTGGGCACTGGTATGGACTACAGTGGCACAAGGCAGCACTTTTGCCTCCTTCTCTGAGATGCACTGAGCAGTGCTGGGCTCAGGCTACCCTCCCATAGACCAGCTGCCTTGGAGACTTCCCCTTCCCACTGCATCAGAGGGTCCCCAACAGGTGCTGAAGGAAGGACGTGGAAGGGTGGGAGAGAGAGAAGCACGGCTGCCTGCACACAGTACGTCCCTGGTAAGCAGGTGCTAGATGCGTAAAGTTCAACTGTGCAGCTCCTACTGTGCCAGCAGTGAGCTCAGCACCAGGCACACAGAGACACATGAACTGTCCAAGTAGATGAAGCTTCCAATCCCCGGCATGTCCTGGACTCCTGTCCAGCTCTGAGGACCCCTGATGAGTTGGTTGCCCTTCTATGGTGGGCTTGCAGGCTGGTGCCTCCTCATCTGGTTAGGGCTTCCTAGGGCTGGCCAACCTGCTCGCTGGAGCGGTGCCCAGCACCACCCTAAGCCGCTGCCACCCTGGCAGGTGCACAGATCTCTCAACAGGGAACAGAATGCGGTTTCGGTCTATTATCAATCCAGATAAAGCTGAAGCTCCGGAGAGAGATTTGGGCTTACAAATAAGCATCTCCGCATGCCCTACCACTCCCTCAGCCTCCTTTGTCAGCCACCCGCCTTCCAGTCACTGTTTGTTCCTTTCTGAAAGCAGCCCCAGGGTCAGGGACACCTCCTAAATAGCTGTGTGCAGTGCTGGGAAGGGAAGGGGTGGAGACAGGAACCAGCTGGACAGGGGCAGCTGGGGGCAGGGGCTGGAAAGAAAAAGGTTCTGGAGGTAAGAGCACTGGTCTCAGAGGGAATGACAGGCATTCTCACGCCTGAGAGTGGGGGAGTGGACACCCCAGTTACAACCCACTCCTCAACCAGGGATAGGCCCCCAACAGAGATCCAAAGAGCAGGGAAGGTAAGACTGATGGTTCCTCCAGCTGATACCAGCAGCTGGGGCCTGGGAGGAGGTGAAAGAGGTCCCCAGACCCCATCTCCTCAGAGAAGGGAGGGAAGAGACCCTTGCCTAAGACAGCCATAGAAATTGGAGCTAAATACTGGAATATACATTGTGCATAATTCAACAATTATGCATTGCACACCTACTCTGCCAGCGGCAACAGAACCAAGAACAAAGTCCCTTCCATTGTGAAGGTTGCTCATGAGAGTTTTTCCACTCAAAGAACAGGAAAGGGCTCCTGGTTCAGGGAGACTTCCTACAAGGAGGAGCAGACAAAGCATGTTGAAGGCCCAAGGAGACAGGAGGGCGGAGAAGCAGAGGGTGGTTGCTCGAGGCCTGTTAAGGGAAGGCTGTAGGAACCCTTGCTCATAGGTTGGATGTGACCTGAGCACAGAAGGTGGCGTAGAGAGTAGGCACAGTGGGGCCTGTTGCTGCCATTGGCATTTCCTCACAAAAAAGAAGCAGACGAGAGGATGCAGGGCTTCCTGGGGAAACCAAACAGCCTGGGCTGCCTCTTGGTCCACCCCCAGGCTGGTGCCGGGCACAGGAGGAAGCCAGGCCTCCCGGCTGGTTTCCCTTTGTGCAATCCTTCTTCCGGCTCCTCTCCACCCAGAAGCAGGCCTGGCAAGCAGGCCAAAGTGCCGCCAGCATGAGCCAGCACCCACACAGATGGGCACGGGCTGGGGTTTCCTGGGGAGACTGGGCCAGCCCTAAGTCCGGGGAAACCTACATGTACCATTCCTGATTTCTACGTCAAGGAGAAGGGTCTGGGGCCTGTGGCTGGGTCCCTGCCCTGCCCTTGGAAGATGTCTCTCTAAACTCCAGACCTAGTAAGACCTCTGCCAGATTGTGGAGACTTCCTCTTTCTCTTTCTTTTGCAAGGACAGCCTGCTCGTGTTACCTGCCAAGGCATTGGCTGAGACAGAAATCATCAGAGTTCCCTGTGGACACTGATCGGGAAACTGAAGGAGTAAGAAACTCTGGGAGCTGAGCAGAGGACCCCGGTCAACCTAGGGCTCACCTGAGTCAGCCCAGCTCCGTCTGGCAAGGAGGCAGCCAGGTCCTGTGGGGCATGCTCCAGAACTGGCCTCCGAGACATGGCATCCCACACTGGACACCTCCCCAGCCCACCCAGGGTCTACAATCCAAGCATTGCAAAGCTTTGGTGGGGTACCCTCGGTCACAATACAGTAGGACAAGTGTCTTGTGCAGAGGGGTGGCCTTTTACCCACCCCAGAAAGGCACCAATGGTGAGCCGCGCACTGTGTCAGCCCTGGGACACAGAGGGGACGAACCCTACTCTGTCCCTGTGCTAACTGCCCTTGGCCAGGGAGGCAGACCCAAACACGTCAACAACCAACAATAAATAATTACAAATTGGGCTAAGTGCTCTGAAGACAGGAAAGTGTAATTAGCCTGTGCTTCCTCCCCCAGCCCTCGAGGCTGCCCTCATTACAGAGCAGCAGCCGCCTGAGCTCCGCAGCATGCTTCGTGGTCAAGTGCCTGGCATAGCAAGGGCGGATGACAATGGTCTGAGGAACATTTATTAAATGAAACTGGAAAAAAAAATGATCGTCCAATAAAACCTAATTGTACAGACCCTTGAGATTCAGAGAGGCCCAGCGTTTGACTCCAAACCACACAACTCTGATGAGTGACAGAAACCCAGAGAGAAACCAGGAGAAATGAGGTCTCCTAACCGAAGGTCCAGGGTTCCTGCCACCATCCCCTGCCGTCCCTCAATCTTGAACCAGATCCCAAGCTCCAGTAGTCTGTAGCCTCCCAGCCATCTCAGTTGCCTGCTTTTCAGACCAGAGCTGGTCAATAAAATTGTATGTGATGATGGGATTGTTCTGTCTGCACCACCTGCACAGACACACGGCACCCCTGCCCTGTTCCAGGGACACAGAGCTGTTGCGGCAGGGCTGGAAAAGATGGGAAGAGGCCTCAGAGGGAGAGAGAGAAGGGCAGGGAGGAGCTGGGGCCTGGAGCAGAAGAGGGCGACAGGTACAAAGGGTCTTGCTTTACATTACAACAAATGTATCTCCAAAGCCATGGGGAGCCACTGAAGGACTCTACCTGGTAATGAAATGTTTTGATTGCAACTTCCATAAGCTTCCAAGGAAGCCACAGCTCCTCTGAGCACTTCTGACACTCCAGTAATTCCAGCTCTCATCACCGCCACCATCCCACACAGTTTCTCACTTCACAGCTCATGATGCCACCCCAGCCTGGAACACCTTTCCCCTCCCCTGCCTGGATGAATCCTCCTCTTCCTCCAGGCTCCAGCTCTGGAGCCCGCAGAAATTCTTATCACATAACCACAGGTCACTTATCACATAAACCTCAGGCCCCATTGCCAGGACTGGGCCCCAGGACAGGGCTTCCCTTCTTCCAGCCTTGGGACACACTGTCACGGGGAAAGCCAGAGAAAGGAGGCCAGAAATTCCCAGCCTCATCAGGGAGAGGGCACCGACCCAGGTAATGATCACAAATGTGGATATACAGACACATAGGAGGGAGAATGAAAGACAGACTGCAGCCCAAGCAGACTCATCTGAAGGAGAGGTCCTCCTTCCCATCATGCCCTGCAGTGAAGCAAAGGGTCTGCCCTGAAGACCCCACAACCTTCCCTGGCTCCCCAAGCCCCCAAGCCTGACCCAGGCTGGCGTATGCTCACTGGAACATTCATCTAGCAAGTATGTCTGGCTGTTCTGAGTTATGAGGCCTTGCTCCACAGGCCAGGCCTCAGGCAAAATGGGGAACAGAGCAAAGAGGAGGCACTGAAACTATGACACAGGGATGCCATTCCCATAAGGCCATGCAGCTGGTCTGTCCAAAGGTGAACCAGATGCCTCTCTTCCCCAGGGTTGAGGGGTGGAGGAGCCCAGCCAGAACTCTAAACTGACAAGAGACTGAGTGGAACAGGCAGGCAAGGGGAAAGAAGGAGGCAACACAGACAGCAGAAAACACAGGGGAAGAGGCAGATGAGAGGGACAGGGAGACAGGTCAAAGGTCAAGAGGAGTCACATGGAGGAAGCAATGGGAGGCAGGAGAAAGAGAACACAAAAAAGCCTTAAAGATTGTGAGCACTCAAGTCTCCTCCTGTTCCTGGCCTATGGCCAGCCCTCTCTGCCTCCTGGGTAAGCAGAATTGTGTCCTGTCACAAGTTACAGGGGACCAGGAGCAGCAGGGATAGACTTGGGGAAGCAGGGAGGAGAGATTGAGATTCCTGTCCCTGGACACATAAGGATCAACAAGGTCAGGCCTCCAGAGGCCCACAAGATGCGTCCTTGCATCCCCAGGTGGAGTTACCTAAGTTCATCCCCACCTGAAGCCCCAAGTTTTGTTAGGGCACCTAGAAGGGATCTGGAGAGTGCCTGGGTACCTAAACACCCCCAGAGAGCCACCATCCATCTCTCTGCTCCTAGCTCTTAGTTGGCCTTCAGCCTCCATGGACCACAGAACCCCTGGGTGGACCAGGCTCCTTCCTGAGGCCAGGAGAAGGTTGCTGCATCCAGTGCTCAATGAGGGTGGGGATCCTCACAGCTAGGGGAGAGGAGCCCTTGTCAGAGTCAGTGGCCTGGACCAGATGACCCCCAAGGGGTGGAGAGAGTCATGGGTGGAGCTAGGACAGGAAAAGGGACAAAGAAAAAATAAAGAGGGGGAGAAGGTGGCAGGGCTGGGCAGTTCTGTAGAGTTTTGTTTGTTTGGGGCTTTTCTGCTGCCATTCCTGTTCAGCAGCCAAACTGTGCCAGCCAAAGACACTGTAAACTGCAGGCCCCAATATCCCAGCCCAGGCAAAGATGCGTCCATTTCTCCAGGGAGGCAGGGACATCCCCAAGGAAAGACACATGGTATCCTAGCCTGCGACAAGCTCCAAAATGCCAGCCTAGAAGCCAGAGACTTGGTAGTTAACTGTGACTTCACCATGCTCAGGGCTGACGGAACAACAGAAGTTAGAGAGCAACAGCAGATGATTTGACCTGTGCAGAGGCCCTTGCCCTTCCTGGGGCCCCAGAACTCAGAGGGTAAGATAAGGGTTAGAGTTGCTTCTCCAGCTGTCATCAGCCAATGCATGAATGACAACTTGTACACCACTGACAATTCGTACACCCTGAAAACAGGCACAGAACCCCCAGGATCCTCTTCTGTACTTGGGGGTGGTGAGTTCCAGCATCTCCCTCAAACAGTGGTCCTGGTAAGCACTGAGGGACCAATGGAGTCACACCTAGCATCCAGGTGGTTGTTTTGGCATTGACAGAGCCCAGGTGCCATTGCCTGCCCCCTCCCTTCCTCAGGAAGCATGCAAGGGTGATCAGGGCAGGGGAGGGTAGAGTGTTATGTTTGACCACATGCCACTGGGATGCCAGGCCAGGGCAGAGATGATGGAAGGCTAGGGTGGCTTCACTCACTGATGCTGAGTGGGGAAGGGCATCAGTCGCCAAGCGGAGGCAGACACCACCACACAGGGAGAGGGAGCAAGAGGGAGGGGAGGAGAAGGGGATGTAAAAAGAATGAAGATGTGTCATGGACATGCTCCAGCTTCCCATGGTGAATGCAATCACTGTGTCGTGCAAACATAAAAATAAACATTTTTTAAAACGACACCGTCATAGTGACCCAGTCGCCTAGAAGGGCCTTGCCAACCCACCCCAGCAGCGGATCCTGGGATCCAAGCTTAGAAAACACCTGTGGTCTCAGTGCAGAGTCCTGGGTCCCAGTGGTCCAGTGCCCACATGTGAGCAAGAGGTCCAGACTGAGGCCCAGGATGAGTATATGACTCAGCAAGCAGCTCCCTCTCAGGACTCCGGTCTTCCTCAGGTCCCAGTGAAGGCTGAGACCCCTTCTATTCCTGACTGTCTCAGTCTCTCTGCTCAAAGGTGGTGTGCCGGGTGCAGGACAGACACACAGAGCAGACCACTGGGGCCATCAGGCGAGGGAGGGAGGAAGAGGCTGGCAGGAGAGGCGGCCATTCCCTGGAAGGGGAGGAGCGGGGATTCAGGAACTGAGTGCAGCAGGAGGCACAGCCCTGTCTAGTGAGAGCTCTGTAAGTACCACGTGTGCCTTCTATTTCTACTGCATATTTAATATGAAAGAGGGGAACAGAGCCAGAGAAGCAAGGGAGGAGGAACGGGAAGATGGGCATATGCTCACAGCCCTGGAAGGAGCTACGCTTGATCAGGCCCATCTCTGCTGGGCAGGCCAGTGCTCCAGGGTGAAGCTGGCAACTTCACAGGTTCTCTGCTAAGGCTTTGCCTGTGCAAACCATGTTTTCATTTCCACTTCACACATAAGGACAAAAGTCTAGTAACCTGTTCAAGGTCACAGCAGTGGCAGGCAGCCAAGCTGAGTCTTGAACCCAACCTCCTCCGGCCTTCAGACAGTCGTGTGCACATAGTCGGTTCTCAACAGTGAGCAAAGGCAGTCAGGAAAGGGGAGCTAAGCCAGGGAGACTCTTTGGCAACTGGAAAACAAATCATAAAAATGCTGTTTCCCAGTGCAGGCTGGCACAGTGCCCAGGACTGCTGCCCCACCATCAGGAGCTCAGGGCTGCGCTTGCCTCATCTTTTCCAGAACTATGTGCACCCGGCTACGTCAGCTTTCAGGTATGCAGGAGCTCTGCGGTGACAGGCTTCTCTCCTCTCTCCTTCCTTATTAAATCTGCCTTCTTCTTGCCTCCTCCGTCCCCCAAACCATCCCCACAGCCCAGCCCTGGTCCCCTCCCCAAGCCAGGCCTAGCGGGGGCCTGTGATCAGCCTTCTTGCAAGGCAGAGCCCCTGCTGGGGAGGAGACGCAGATGCGGGGTGCTGGGGGAGGGGCAGAAGCACCACATCATCTAACAGGTTGGTCGGGCTGGGAGGCGTCCCGCCCTCTTGCAGCTAATGAGCACTGTGCGACAGGTGTTTGCATCTCAGTCCCCAGCTTGCTCTGGCTGCGACAGGAGGCAGCCGCCTGCCACTCACCTCCTCTCCAAGGCTCACTTGCTCGCTTGCTCACCAGGCCCCTGGGCCCTCCCGCTCCCAGGCCGGGGGTAGGGGCCACCATGGCCTGCCGATCGTGTGTCGTTGGCTTCAGCAGCCTCAGTGGCTGTGAGGTGACCCCGTTGGGCAGCCCCCGGCCTGGGACCTCTGGATGGAGCAGCTGTGGGGCCCCCGGGCCAGGCTTCAGCTCCCGAAGCCTCACAAGCTGCTGGCCAGCTGGCACCATCCCCAAGGTGACCATGAACCCCAGCCTGCTGGTGCCCCTGGACCTCAAGGTGGACCCAGCTGTCCAGCAACAGAAGAACCAGGAGAAGGAAGAGATGAAGGTCCTCAATGATAAATTTGCCTCCCTGATTGGCAAGGTGAGCAAAAGCGGGTGGAGGAGGGGGACAAAAACAAAGGGCTGCCAGGCTGGGCAGTGGGTGAGCTCTGTATTTCGCCGGGGAATTGGTCACTGTGCTCCACCCTTGCCTCTAGCCAATGGGGTGGCAGAATGGCTTCCTGGGAAGGCTGACTCTGAACAGAGAGATGGAGAAGGAAGTCCTGATTCTTCCTGGTGTCAAGGAAGAAAGGGACTCCAGGATGGACTCTGGGGGTCATGTCACATGGCTGGGGTCGCCCTATCCCCACGGTGAGCTAGGGAGACCCTGAGCATGGTTAAGGGAATGCCTCCCTCAGAGTATCTTGTGGAGGAACGGTCCTCAGTCCTGCTCCAGGGCAGGTAGACAGTGAAGATGACCACCTAAGGTCCCTCCCCATCCATCCCACAAGCCCTTGGCCCTGGGACATCTCTGTCAAGGCAGCCCTGCTCAGCTTCTCAGCAGAAGAGCAGGCAGGGCTGAGGGTATTGAGGGCTGCTGCCCAGGCGGTGGAGAGTTGTGGGTCAGTGCAACTTTGGTGTGTCAGGAGATAGAAATGCAGGGGACAGATGCCCAGAGTTGGAACCATGCAGCCTTCTGTACCCACCCGAGTAGAGGGAGCAAGTCCCTGGTGCCCGCAGCTCCCACACTTCCTTGACTCCACTGCCCATGGCCTACAGCTGGTCTGGGGCACTGGCATCCATCTCTACCCTCAGGCAAGGAAGCTTCCAGTGAGGTCCTGTCCACTTCCTAAACCTGCTCCTCTCTCACACCTCTGAGAAACCTCCTCTCAGCCCTCCCAGTCCACTCCCTCCTGTCCTGTCCAAGAATAACCACCATAAGAGTAATCATCATGGCAGCTCATTGTTTACTGTATACCAGGCCCTATGTTGGGTGCTTTACATATTAATGCTATTTCCTTTGACTGCCTGTATGAAAGAAGACATTTTATGCCCATTTTACAGATAAGGGAAACTTTGCCTTCCTGACTCTCTCAGTGAACAGGTTCAGTCTCCTACCCTAACTCTGCCCTGTCTGCTCCTTGGTCTTTTCTCCATGTTGCTGGTTGCCCTGTAGGTTGGGAGCTCACAGACAGCGGGAAGAGAAAGGAGTAGCATATGTGAAACATTTGTCTGCATCTGTGGGCCTGAGGGGGGCCCCCACTCTGTGCCTATTATGAGGGCTCCTCAGCAGGAACTTGGCAGACAGCATGAGATTTGGCCTCCACAGCAACATTGCACTGGCATAATGAGGAAAATGAAAACCAAAGAGGTTAAGCACCTTGCCCAAGGCCACACAACCAGCACATGGTACAGTTTAGATTTGAACTCATGTCTGAGAGGCACAAAACTGGTATCTCTGAAAGTGGGGACCATTCACGTGTCTGGATCAGTTTCCCATGCACATGTGAGGGACTCAGAACATCTCTTCCCACAGCCTGCTGCTCAGCCCACTGGTGGGCTGGTTTGCCTGGGGGAGGCAGGGTCCCACCAGGTGCCTCCTCACCAAACCCAACTAAATCCTTTAAAAGGAAGGCTGCACTCAGCTATGTAATTTGGCTCTGATGGGTGGCTTTTCTCCCTTGATCGCCAGTACTGATGTCACTGTGTGCCTCTGTGTGGGGACAGGGTGGGAACAGGTGGGTGTAGGCACAGGGACGGGGCGCTCAGGGTTTGAGTCCTGTGCCCTGGACCAGTGAAAACCTTTAGTAGAATTAGAGCTTCCAACCCTCAAACTTGGCCGTAAGTGGGGTGCCCCTTTGGTGCAATGTAGGAAACTGGGGATGTCAGAACTTTGGGGGCCCTGATTGCTCTGCTCTCCCCCAAAGAAGCTCCACCTCCCAGTGAAAAGTAAAAGTAGGCAATGGCTCCATGAGTGAAATCTGGAACACCATCAGTGGATTTAATCCTGGCTTTGCCACTGTCTGCTGTGCAATCTCAGGCAAATGACTTAACCTCTCTGCGCTTCAGTGCACATTGATATAATGGGCTCATCAATTAAATGGGATGATTTTTGAAAAGCAGATAGAATACATCTAGTGCATATACATGTTTAATAGCTGGTAAATGAAAAATAAAGTGAAAGGGTCTCTCCTGGAACCCAGCTAGCTCCCTTGGGGGAGGAGCCCAGAGGAGAGGGAAACAGGCACCCTGTTGGAGCAGAAGGAAGGAACTTGGTGGAGAGGGGCCCTATGTGGAGCTGGACAGAGCCGGGATGCCCAGGACAATACGCAGTACAGGGTGGGAGTGTTGGGCAGAGAGGAAGGCCAGGGTACCCCGCCCACACTCCTTTCCAGGCTCTGTGAGGCAGGAGACAGACCAGGAGGGAGGGAAGGGAGGGAAGGGCATTCCGGGAGCTGGCAGAGAGGCCCAGGAGCTGTGCTGTTTATCCTACTTATTGGCTGTGTTTCCTTGGGTGAGCCATTTCCCCTCCCTGTGCCTCAGATTCCATGGGGCCCTGAGCTCCTGCTCAGGGAGACTGGCAAGGCCACGGCCATGAGATGAGAGCTGAGGAGTGACAGCAGGAGGGCCGGGGACAAGGAGAAGGCAGTGCCCACATCCCAGGGGCTGCTGGCCGGGCCTCTCACCTTCACCTTCAACAGAGCCAATGAGGGTAGGCAAGAGGAAGGATCTCCCCAGTCAGCCTGAGGAGGCTGTAGAGAGGGGGAACCCCACCCCCAAAGAGCAGCAGCCAAATGCCCAGAGACAGGGAGAGGGACCAATTCTTCTCCTAGGCTGAATGACTTGGGAATTATCCATCTGCCTGGATGCAGGAGGCAGACCAGCATTCCTGACAAAGGCAAGTGATCTGACTAAGGCCTGCCTGGCCCAGAGGACTGCCTGGCAAACTTGGGGAGCAGAGCCTCCAAGGCCTCAGCCCATCTCCCCCAAGATGCTCCCCAACTCCAGCCAGCAACTCCAGTTCTACCCTCTACCCAAGGCCTACTCTAGAACCATGGAGTTGGACCACATTGAGTTCTGGACCTCAGTTTCCTCATCTGTAAAATAGAGAGGCAGATAGACTCTCCCTCCTAGAGCTGCCCACTTTGTGATCTCAGGACTGTGACCAGCCAGAGTAGAGAGGACTGAAGGTCTTAATGAGTTGGAGGTTGATTCAGCTTGGCACTTAGAGGGCTGCTGGGGTTATTAGCCCTCCTGGATCTTTATTCCAAGAGAGAAGAGCCATCTGCAAGGAAAATCCAGGCTGAGAGATAAGTTTCCATCTCTTCCAGGGAGGCAAGAAACTCCTGCAAGGGAGAGGAGAGAGGGCTCCCCATGACTCCCTCAGACCAGCTAGCACTGCAGCATAGAGCATTGAGATTAGACTACAGGAAGAACTTCCTGGTGTGATGGTTTCTCTGTTGCTCATGGGTGCAGGAAGGAGTCTCACAGCTCTCCTGTCACCCCACCCTTAGTGTAAACACAGGACTCCTGCTTGTCAAAACGGAGAGAAGGTGGGGTGAGAAAATGCCTCCCCCCACAATGCTCCCTCTCACACACACAAAGCAGGCAAACACCCTCTTGACTCCATCCCCACTGAACCTGTTTGGCTGTGACTCCAGTGGGTGGCAGGCTTAAGGAAGCTTCAAGAAGATGACAGCCTACAAATGTCACTGTCAAATGCCACTAACTAACCAGCACTCCTACTGGCTTTGTCTACTGTGAGTGGCAAAGGAGGCTTCCTAAGGTCATGAGATGGTCTCACGAGAAAGGAAACCCTGGAGTGTAGATAGGACAGTGAGAGGGGAGGGAAGGGGGCTGGTGATGGTCCAGGCTGGGCAACATCAGTCAGGGGGCCCTGTCTGGGAAGCTGCAGGAGGAACTGTGCAAAATTAGCCAGGAGAGGGCACAGGTCGAGGCCAACCTGCTGCAGGTGCTAGGTAAGGAGGAAGTGGCCTTCCAGGTGCTGAGTGGCCCTGGAAAAGTCACCTGACTCCCTGCCCCAGAGTCTCCATAAGCCCCTCTGTAAATAAAGGGTGCAGAGCAGCTGAGCCACAGGGTTGGTGGCAGCTCTCAGGCTACAGTCCTGGTGCCAGGGCCAGCTCCAGGTTATACACCTGTGGTCATAGGGAGCATCACTGGGCCAATCACAGCATCCTCATGACAAAAACAGCCCAACTGTCCAGGAGCAGGGCCAGCCATACCTCAATGGCCTGTCCATGTCCTGGGCTCCAAGACTAGGGAGCCCAGGAAGGGAGTCAGTAGCTCCCAGCCTGCCGGGACAGAGGGTGGTAACCAGGACAAATGAGAAGCTGATGAACTCAGGGTCTTGGTGGTGCTAGAGGGATTGAGGAGTTTTTCAAGCCGAGTCATGGAGGGCTTTCTGCAGGAGGCTTGCTGTGGCACACAGGGCACGGGGAGAAGCAGGCAGGGCTTGGCATGTAGGGAAGGACAATGTTCAAGACAGGCAGGAAGCTGGATGGGCCAGGCAGGCCCAGGTCACACTGGACTGGACTAGGGGAGGGAAGAAGGGACCTAAGAGAGATCCTGACAGCCTGTTATTGCCCAGACTGTGGTCCATTGGCCACAGAAGCCCTGGTGAAAGCCTCAGAATGAGGCATGAGGTTGGCAGAGCCTGAGAGGAGCCCTTGCGTCTTCATCCTCAAGGCAAACCTGGCCCGAGCTGGAGGCAGAAGCCAGCTCAAGAAGGGCAGCTGGGGTCTTGGGGCCCAACCAACCCAAGAGAGACCGCTGGGACATGTGTCATCATAGTTAAGAAATTCCCAGTGCAAAGTGCCTGGATTCCAGCCCTGGCTCTGCCACTTGTTAATTTCATGACCCTAGGCAATTCCTTCACTTCTCTGTGCCTGGTTCCCTCATCTGTAAAATGCACTGATAATACCCATGCCATAGGCTGTTGCAAGCAGCCATCTAATGAGTTAAAGATGGCAAGCATTCAGAAACAGGCCTGGCGCACAGTAGGTGCCACACAAGTATGGGCTGTTATTACTCCTCCAAGCACATTGGCAGGGTCTGCCCCCTAGAGCCCTTAAAGACAGGCAGATGACATCATCCCCAATTTCAAGCTGGGGAAACTGAGGCTCAAAGAGCCTGCAAGTCTGGGGTTGTTGAGAGGATTAGCACTGAAGTCCTCAGCAAGCCCTACCTTGCTGAGCTTCCAAGACAAGATGAGACCAGGCTTGTCTTGGGGGAGGGGCAGGCAGGCTTTTGACACCTCACATTCCCAGGGGTCTCTCAGCCCGGCCCCAGATGGGCTTGGACAGCCAGTTCCATTGTGGTCACTGTCGTACCCTAGACACCTCCCTTAGTTAGCACCCCGCCAAGCCTTTGCTAATTGGCCCCGCCCCCATCTGCTCCTTATCTCAGCATCTTCAACTTGAATAATCAGTAACCGGAGGTTGAGGTTCGCTGTTCTCAATGCCAGCGTGAGGCCCAGGTGGAGGTGTGCAGATGAGCTGCCACTTCCCAGGGAGCCTGCCCCATGGGCGCCCGAGATCACCCACCCCTGACCCACTCAGTGCCCTCCTGCTCTCCCAGGTACAAGCCCTGGAACAGCGCAACCAGCTGCTGGAGACCCGCTGGAGCTTCCTGCAGGGCCAGGACTCAGCCACCTGCGACCTTGGGCACCACTATGAGGCATACCAGGACCGGCTGCAGGAGGAACTGCGCAAAATCAGCCAGGAGAGGGGACAGCTCGAGGTCAACCTGCTGCAGGTGCTGGAGAAGGTGGAAGAGTTCCGAATCAAGTAGGTGGCTGCCTATGGGGGCCATGGGCAAGGGGCAAGGGACTGGGGGTGGGGATCAGGCTGTACTCAGGTGGGACACAACTTAGCCAGGGAAAGGGGAAAGACATACAGAATATTGGTCTTCTTGAGACATTTACTGAGGGCCTTGTATGTGCCAGGTGCCATTCTAAATGCCAGGGATGCAGCAGGGAACCTAGAGCTGCCACCCTCCCGGGCCCCTGGCCCCCAGAAGTGAGGCTTACGATATAGTCATTCTTGTGCTGGCTTTTGTATGGCTGACCCTTGGATACTGTCTCAGCCCTGGTTCAAGTGGCCCTACTCTAGTGCTGTAAACATGGTTGCTCATACCCACACTGCACTGGCATGGGACATTATGTCATTACTGGAATGACAGACAGGTTTCTTCTCCAAATATGGCTTTTGATTTTGACTCTAATTGGCTGGAAAGGAGTGGGTGGCACCCAGTGCAGGCAGAGAACAGAAAGGGTGGGTTTCATTTGAATAAAGCAGTAAAGCCCTATAGGTGAGATGTGTCAGACACTGAGAGAACCTGGTAACTTCAAGACAAGGAAAGTACAGTCTCCACAGGCAAAATGTGTTTACAACTTAGTGGGACACGCAGACAGGCAAACAGCACGTTTAGCAGAGCAGCCTAATGACTATGGACCAGGCCTGAGCACTAGACTGAGAGAGAGCTTGGTCCTCCCCACTTCCATCGCCCTTACTAGCTCCTTGTGAAATGGGAACGTGGTGATTGGTTGCAATCTCAGGAGGCAGGGGGAGGAAGAAGAGAATCCAGCATGGTGCCTGGCATTTATAAATGGCAGCTTTCCTGCCACGTAGAATGAAGTTCCCAGAACACAGTGGGTCCTTGATCTGGGTTTGCTGAGCTGAACTGGCCAATCTAGAAGGGTAGATAGAGTAGGCACTTGGGTAGCTCACAGAAGAGGTGGCCCCTCTGCTAGGCAGTGCGCTGGGCTTCAGGGACACTGAGGCAGAGCAAGGGAGAGGCTATGCCCTTGTGCACCTCTTTTTGGGTCTGGTCTAACTGAGAAGGGGCCCCAGCCACAGCAAGGAGAAGACGGAGCATGGCTGAATATGAGCCCAAGCCCTGCCAGTAGAAGATGCAGCTTAAATTCTCCAGAGCAGCCAGCCAGCCAAGCAGCCTATCTGGGAATCCAGGGGTCTGAGCTCAGCTTGCCCACCACCTCCCCTGAACCCTTCCCTCCTAAATCCTAGGAAATACACAGGTCTGATTCAGAATTCCCCCAGCTTCTTAACACCTGACCACAAAGTTTATCAGAATCCTTGACCCATGTCACCAGTTCCTAGTTAGATCTTTAGCCCTCAGGGGATCAGAGAATTGCTGAATGGGGGTCTTGGTCTTCCTTCCATGGAAAGCAGAAGCCCAGAGAGGGCAAGGCTTGTCCTCAGTCACACAACAATGCAGCTGAACCTATCCTAACCTCAGAAGGCCACGGCTTAAGGTTACTCCCACCAGCCCAGCCAGACTGCACCCACGGAAGTCCTGCCTAGCTAGAGTCCTTTACAACCACTGCGCAAGGTTTTTCTGTCTCTTTGCCCTACTGACTTGATGCCTTAAGATCAGGATGTCTCTTCCCCTCTCTGGGTAGGAGACTCACCTTAGTAGAAGCAGGAGAGGCTGTGGGTCTGTCAGCCAAATCTAGGGAGTCAGGGCCTGGCTGAGCAGAACCTGGGGCCCTGCGAGACACGGGTGGAGCCCTGACAGGGAGGAGTTGTGCCCTGCCTCTGCACGGCGATGAGATCAGCCTCACTCCAGAAATAAACAAGTTACAGGAGAGGGGGTACAGGTGTGACTGTCTGAAAAGGGCTTAAGGATGGGTTTGAGAGTGGTGGCTGGTAGACTGGCAGAGGATTGAGGTAACTGGGGACAAGGTGTCCCTTAAAGCCTCTGTGGGAATGGAGATTCCCAAGGACTTAGAAGTAGCAGGGACCCCAAGGATTGGCTAGGTTAACTCTTCTATGACTAAGCACAAAACGAAGACCCAGCAAGCAGAAACAACTTACCCACGCCCACACAGGGAGGACTCTTGGACACCAAAGATACTTGGGCAAGCTGGTATTGGCTGAGCGAGCACCCAGAGGGGAATGGGACCAGGACGCAGCAGAACATCACACTGACAAGTGATATACCCCTGAGGAAGGATAGACTAGCAGCAGCTTTAAGGACACTGGGCTCAGCCCAGACAGGACACTGTGCAGTGTGCCTGTCATGTCCCCAGCCTTGCCCCTGGGACTCAGGTCTTGGCAGCACGAGTGCCCTAATTAACACACCCACCTGGAGGGCCAGGGTCAGGACAGACACAGCCTGGATGGGATGCCATAAAAAGGTTCTTCCAACCCCAGGCTCCCAGCATCCTTCTCTGTGAGGCAGGGTCTGGGGGCCTTGACTTCCCTTTACACTCCCTGCATATGTTCCCTGGGGTTCTGCAGGGTCTCTAGCAAGTGATAACTCAGCTTCCCCAGCAAAGGACACGTTTCAGGGGTGAGAAGTTCTGATGGGGCACAGAACCCTCAAGCCAAAGCCTGAGGTCTCCTCCAAAGGGTTTTTCAGAAAACAGGGCTCATCTGAAGTCAAGGAGCAGGCCCCAAGCAATCAGAATTTCTCAGTGGCCCAAGTGACAGGGTGAAAAGACCTCAGCCTGGGAGGGAGGAAGGGAGGCAGCAGGGAGTGGGGAGGGCATGGAGCATGAGGAGGGTGCTGGGCACCTGGCCCCCAGCAGACTGCTCTCTCCAGCTCCTGTCCACCAGCTGGCAGGACTTTGCTGTCCAGAGGTCAGGGGGCCTCAGCCACCCACTTGTAGGTAAGGGTTAGGGGCTCCCTAGCCCATGCCCTATCCCCAGGAGAGGGAATTCCTCAGAGCCCCACAGATCCCAGGAGCCCTCAGATCCCAGGAGGAAACCTGTACAAGTCAGCCTGGTCCTGAGGATTTCTGAGGGGTGTGCAGACAGCCACTCCAGCTTCTTGAGGATTCTCTCTAAGAATACTAGAGAAGGGCTGGGGATTTAGCTCAGGGGCACCACACCTGCCTCTCAAGTGCAAGGTCCTCAGTTTGATTCCCCGTACAGGATGGAGGAGGGGATACTAGAGGATGAGGTTGAGGGGCAAGCTCTCATGGGTGTCAGGCCCTATTTGCAAACATGCCATGTATTAACCCATTTGGTCCTCACAACATGGCCATTATCACAATGGAGGACTCCAAGTCCATGCAGCTAGTTCACAAGGAAGCAGAATTTGATGTCCTGTTTGACCAAAACACTACAGGTACCTCTATCCCTTTTACAAAACACTGTTTCCTCATCTGTCAAATGGGCCACACGGGACCTCCTGAGCTGGAGGCTCTGAGTGGCACAGGACAGGTATAGGGTATGCTTAGCATAGGCCCAAGGGTGGCCCTTGGCATCAGTGACAGGGCATTGTGTTCTCCCTGCTCTGCTCCTCTGCTCAGCCCTGGTGACCAGGATCCTCAGAGTCCCTGTGAGACTTTAGAACCCAATCTGTACCTACACCCCGAGATTCAGAGACCATGTCCCCTGCAAGCCCCAACCACCCTTAGGTCTGCTCCCCCTCAGCTCCTTAGTGGGGCTGGGGCAGGTCCAGCTAGCAGCATGGGTCATGGATGCCACCATCCTTGCCTTGATGTTGGGGACTGGGGCAAGTGATGGCTACAGTGAGAGCCACCAGTGATCTAGGTACTTACTCCCTGGAAAGGAGGAAGGGACTCAGAAGTCACAGAACCCCACATACCCTGGGGCCAGCAAAGGCTGGAGTAGGAAGCATAAGGCCAGGCAGTGTGCAAGTGGGGTCAAGACAAAGTCCAACTGGAAGAGAAGGACAGGGTCAAGGATCCAGGGGCCCCACTCTGCCTCCAATAGTGCTCTTGTTGCAAACACAAGGTGGCCTTCACAAAGGAGAAGACCAATGTGGGAAGAGATTTGTGGCACCCCCTGGATGCCGACTGCATACCATGTACCCCAGCTGTGGCAGCAGGGGTGGACTTTGTCAGCCACACACACACACACACACACACACACACACACACTCATGGGCACCTGGGGCCCAACACACAAAGAAGCCAACAGATGGTCACTCTGGAATGTATGGTGTCCAGGGAAGGAGGGTGGGGCTGTGGGAGAGAATGCAGGTGAGAGAGGGAGGCACGAACAGGATGCTCAAGGAGGACTCAAGGGAGTGTGCTTGAACCTGAGATTGCCTGGGAGGAGGCAGAGAAATGAGGAAGGAACCACAGGAGAGGTGAACGAGCTGTGCAATCAGTGAGGCTTCCTGAATGAGGTGGTGCAGCCAAGCAAGGAAGGGGAAACCTGGGCTGTCATCGAGATGCAGCAAGAGAACAGAAACCAAGTGAGGGTGCTGGAGATGCGTCCTGGAAGACAGGCCATTGCACACACCTGCCAAAGAGAGAGCCACTCTTCCAGTGGACAAATGGCATAGGGTGGGACAGCAGAGGCCCTGGGTCCCACCCAAAGGGAATGACCCAACCCCCAGCTCCCATCATGTCCAGCTGAGCCATCTCTGCCTCCCTGCCCTAGGTATGAGGATGAGATCTCCAAGCGCACAGACCTGGAGTTCACCTTTGTGCAGCTGAAGAAGGTAGGCTGCCCTTGCCCCCACCCTCTTTCCTTCAGGCTCCCCTACCTCCCTTTATGGACTGGCGAAGCCATCAGAGGCTCATGTCTCAGTCTCAGGACCAGTAGACAAGTGCCTTTCCCCAGGGTCTCCATCCTCTCACCCTTCTTCCCTCCCCCAGAGAGAGAGGGACCCCATCATTCCCTCTATTTTTCACTAATGTTCCCAACATCAGGATCTGGATACTGAGTGCCTTCGCCGGACGGAACTGGAAACCAAATTAAAAGGCCTGCAGAGTTTTTTGGAGCTGATGAAAACCATCTATGAGCAGGTAAGCGAGGTGGGGCCTCCTCCGTGGGCAGGGGACACTGACACAGGGGAAGGAAGTCTGAGGATGTGGATCCTTCAGCAGCACAAAGCCACTCTCTCAGGAGAAAGAACCATGTGCATCTTCCTGTGTGCAGGGGCCGAGGTGCATCACGGCAGGGATTAGGAGGCTGCTGGCCTCAGTGTAGGCAGAACTGTGTGTGCTGAAAACTGCTGTCGACATGCGCTGCCCATGCTGCGAAGCTCAGGGCAGAGATCGTCATCGCACAGTAAAAGCTCTGACGTGGCCCTACGGTCTGCAGATGTGAGCTTCACAGCCTCGTCCTGTGGAAAGGGAGACCCAACTTCATGGCTGTGCACAGCCATACTCCTCAAAGCCAGCTCAGCCTCTCCAGGGCCCCAGAGGGACTGAGACCTGTCTGTGGCACTTGGTGTGGCTTAGTAGACAGAACACTGCCAGCCTTGGGAACAGCAGGAAGGCAGCATCCCTGGCAGGCCCCCTGCACCTGCAGCCCTGTAAAATGTCCCGTCCGGCACAGCCTTCCATGGCCAGGTCAAGTCCTGGGGGCTCTCCAGGGCTCTGGGCCCAGAGGCTGGCTTAAGTGGGCTAGGGGTTCCCCTGCCCAAACTCTGTGCAGCATCATGGGGCAGTGTACCACTCTGCTCTCTCAGCATCTCAGCAAGCTCGGAGCTTGAGCTCAGAGCCAAGACGAGGTGCCAGTCATGGAGACCAGCCAGAAGAGGCCTCCGAAACCAGTACACCAGGCAGGCCTTGCCAGAGACACACCCACAAAACTTCTTGGTCCCTCCCCCAATAGGCAGCGAGACTCTATTTGGACCATTTCTGCTACTTTGGGCAAGCTGTGTCTCCTGTCGTGCTTCAGTTTCCTCATCTGCAAAATGGGGAGAGTCATGGTACCAGCCTGGTGGGCCTGAGATGCAGACCAAGCCCATTCCTTCCTTACACAAGCGTTTGCCACAAGCCTAACAGTTGCCAGGCACTGCTAACCCAGCCAGAGTAAGATGGCACAGTCCCCCCAACCCTGTCCAGAAGGGCATGGCTTTACTAGGAGGAAACAAGTAGCAGGCGATCAAACAAATGTCTGAAGGAGATCACTCAGGAGGGCAATTAGCACTGGGGTGATCTGATGGTGCTGGGGGAAGAGGAGAGCTTCAGAGCCCAGTCAGGGACCTTTCCAATGAGGCTCAAGAGGATGCCCAGGGATGCGGAAGGACTGGCCCAGTAAGAACACAAAACCTTGAAGTCAGGGGTGCACTTGGGGACTACAGGGAAAGAAAGAGGCCACTATGTTCAGAGCAGAAGGGCAGGAGAGTGTTGGGTCAGGGAGGAGCTGAAGGGTCAGCTCATGCCTGGTCTTGGACTTAGAGAGTTTGAACTTAGCTAAGCATGGTGGTTGGTGTGGGTACTGGGGGTAGGGATGCCTGGTGATTCAGGGTCAGGCTTGTGCTGATAAGACTCCTATGGAGGGAGCCAGGTGTGATGGCACATTCCTGTGATCCCAGCTCTCAGGAGGCTGAGGCAGGAAGATCGCTGTGAGCCTGAACAGCAGTGATGTTACTGGCTGCATTACAGTTGTCCCTCAGTATCCTTGGGGAGTAGGTCCAAGAGTCCTGAAGACACCAAAATCCTCCAATGCTTAACTCCTTCATACAAAATGCCATAGGATTTGCATATAACAGATGCATACCTCCCATATACTTTTTTTTTCCAGTACTAAGGACCAAACCCAGTGCTTTCACACTAAACTACATCCTCATCGCTTTTTTTTTTTTTTTTTTTTTTTTTTTTTGACAGGATTTTTTTTTTTTTTTTTTTTTTTTTCTGTGACAGGATCTCACTAAGTTGCCCAGGCTAGTCTCAAACTTTTGACCCTGTTGCCTTAACTTCAGAATAGCTGGGGATTACAGGCATGTACTGCCATGCTCCCCTGTATACTTTAAATCATCCCGATGTTATTTATCATTCCTAATACCATGTAAATGCTATGTAAATAGCAGTTATTACACTATATTATCTCGGGGAAATAATGACAAGAAAGAAGTCTGTACGTGTTCGGTATAGATGCAACTTTTTTCCCATCCATGGTGGGTTGAATCTTCCAATGTGGAGCCCGTGGGTAGAGAGCAACAAATGCATGGCAGTTATTGTTATTTTTGGAAGCAACTGGCATTGGAAAGTGAGTCTGTGTCTCTTGCCACAGCTGAGATGGCCTTTTGCTAAAAAGATTTCTCCCACCACTGGATCTCTAAGCAGCATTGTTTTTGTTTTTAATACGAGCTACATTTTTTCTAATAGCCACATTTTTTTGTATTGAATTTAGTAGCCACATTTTTAAAGAAGAAACAGAAAAAGGCTGTGGTTTAGCTCAGTGCAAGGTCCCGCGTTCCATCCCCGATACCAAAAAAAGAAAAAAAAGGGGTAATATATTTTATTTTAGCCCAATACATCCAAAATACAGTTATCTCAATGTGATCAGTTTAAAAAAAATCAAAAGGCTATTTTACATTATTTTTCTCATATTAAATCTTCAAAATCAGATGTGTGGTTTACACTTACAGTTCCTCTCAGTTTAGACTAGTCACGTTATGACTAGTGGCCACCTCCTGGGACAGAGCAGGTTTAAACAGAAGGAGGGATCACCACACTTCCACTAGGGCTGCCTCAGGTGGAAGAAAAATGTGGTGGAACATGAGTAGCCCCGGGAGGGCTGCACACTCTAGTTTCAACTTTGAATCAGACCAGAAAAGCATTGCTATGTAGGCTCGTCCTGCGTCCCAGGAAGCACATGCACTGCTAGGACACCCACAGAGCCCTTCCCAGCAAGCCAGGCAGGACCCCAGGCCATGCTCTGGGCAGGACCCTATCTGTACACCGAAGCCTCCTCAGTAACCCCTCTGCTCCTCCCCTGCTCCAGGACACAAGCTCACCCTCCCTCAGCCTCTGAGGTACAGGTACAGTCCAACTCCCTGCCGCAAATGGGGCCTGGATGCACGCGGCCTGAACGCTGCCTGCCTCACCCATAAACTCTGGTTCTAGGGAGATTAGTTGTGGAATCTGCTGACAACCTCCTGCAGCCAGGCACACCTCCTGGGAGCAGATCCCTGTAGAGAGAAGCAGGGGTTTGTCTAAACAGCTTTGGCAGGGAGGCCACTCCAGGAGTAGGCTGCTCTGCCCCAGGACATTTCATGCCAGCTTTCTCGCTTTTACCAGTTGCAATAGTGTCCTTAGCCAATGTTTATTGGGCACCTACTCCATCGTGGGCATTGTACTACGTGCTTTCCAGACTTAATCTCACTTAATCTCCTCAACAAGCCTATGAATTAAGGATAGCAATTAAGAGAGCAGCTCGGATTTGAATGTGGGCTCCATAACCAGGTGAACAGGAACACCTCCATGCCTCAATTTCCCATGATAGCAATACTTCACCAGGCTGTTGTGAGGATGTATTTTACGGAGAGATAGATAGATGATAGATAGATAGATAGATAGATAGATAGATAGATAGATAGATAGATAGATCCTAAAGTACTTGGAACAGCATCTGGCACCAAGGAAGCCTTGAATAAGCATTAACAGTTTTCAGCTATATAATAATACCCATTTCACAAATGAGAAAACTAAAGCTCAGAAGGGTTTACAAACTTGACCAAGGTAACCTAAGTAATAAGAGGGGTATTCAGAGTCCGGCACCCATAGCTCTATGTTTTCCTAAGCAGCACTCCCACAGGAGTTACTACCCATGCTGCCCCGGGGTACTCAAGGATGGTGGTCACACACAACAGGCTCTGGCTACCAAAGAAAGCCTGATGTGTACCACGGCTTAATTCTCGCCAACTAGGGGATGCTGGGGCCCATCCCAAGGTGGCCCTTCTCTGCCACAATGGAGCATTGTTACGTCCTCTGCTCCCTCGAGGGTAGCAAGTCTGGACAGGTCTTCAGATGCTCTGAGCGCTCCATTTCCTGTTTCTGTTTTCCACGCTCCTGTTTGGCCCGCCTCTCTCCAGAAAGGGTCTGAGGCTGCTCCGTCAGCTAAGTTTCACTCCTCTCTTCAACCCTGAGGCATCTCCTCGCAGCCCTGCCTTTTCCTGGGCTGTCTCAAATGCCAGACCAAACTAGGACTGGAAGCACCACTGGGGCTCTATCAGGACACCCCACATACTCTCTGGTGTCCATGGCACTGCTGCCCAGGGCCACAGGGGTGGGAAGAAGCACAGAAGACACAGCCTGGGGAAGCAGTGGGCTTATTTCCAGAGTGCTCTGGGGACAGGGAAGAGAAGGCAAAAACGTTGTCATATTTGGGGGCAAGCTCCCCAGCTAGGGGGAGCTCAGGGTGAATCAAGTATCAGAGCAGCACCTCGGCCTCACACAGCGTGTACCCATTTTCAGCAAGGGAGGGCAGTGGAGGTACAGGCTTCCCAGTCTCCAGCCCCACCCTGCTCCTCCATGCCAACATTTGTTCCAAACCAAGAAGCTGCCTGGCCAATGTGGGCCACAGAGATGGACATGGCTCTGCCAGGCCTTTGGATTTGGTTTGGTTTGGTTTGGTACTGGGGATCGAACTTGGGTCCTTGCGTTTGCAAGGCAGGCAGCAGAACCACTGAGCTAAATCCCCGGCCCCTCTGCCAGGCCTTTGGGGAACTCCTGTCCAGTGGGGAGCAGAGGCCTGCCTCCCCCAGCCCAGCATGGCCTCCTGCCCCTTTTCTCCATCAGTCAGGAGGAGGGGACCCGATCTGCGAGTGGGTAACAGGGAGACAGTGAAGCTGGGATGAAGAGTGAGGTTCCTGGAATGGGCCGCTGGGGCCAGCCCCTCCCTGCCATCCTCACCTTAATTTTAAAAAGGGAGAAGGGCCAGGGATTTAGCTCAGTGGTGCCACACCTGCCTCACAAGCAGAAGGTCCTTAGTTCAATCCTCAGTACCGGAAAAAAAAGGGGGGACAGATAGGTGGGCAGAGGGCAGTGAGCTGGCCCTTGGAGTCCTGAGAGTGAGAGTTGAAGGGAGACAGGAGGAGAACAGCAGGCCGCTCTCCACCGCCCCTGAGGGTGAAGAGACTGAGGGGTGGCTAAGGGGCCTCATGCCCTCCCCACCAGCACTAAGCCCTCCACACCTGTGCCTGGCCAGGAGCTGAAGGACCTGGCAGCCCAGGTGAAGGAGCTGTCAGTGACCATCGGCATGGACAGCCGCTGCCACATCGACCTAACTGGCATCGTGGAGGAAGTGAAGGCCCAGTATGACGCCATCGCGGCCCGCAGCCTAGAAGAGGCCGAGGCACACTCACGGAGCCAGGTTGGGTCTGGGCAGCTCTCCCTGGGCCACAGGAAGGGCTGTTCTAGAGATGGCTGAGGTCGTTTGCAGCTTCCCCTATCCTGAGACCTTCTGAGAGGGAAGTAGGAAGCACAGGGCTGGGGATGGGTAGACAGGGCAGATGGCATGGAGACAGAAGGAAGCCGCAGCATACGCCCTCCTGAAGGTCAGAGTCCATCCATCAGCACCAGGGCTCACCTAGGACAGCCAAGAGAAGTCATCCAGCAGGACCTGTGGAGGAAGAGGGGGGGTGACAAAGGGGTGGCCTGCAGAGGTAGAGGTGAGGCTGGGAGCAAAAGAAGGCAGGGCAAGGGGGAGGGGGTGTGACTTCCTCCGTGTCCCAGCAGCTGGAGGAGCAAGCTGCTCGCTCAGCTGAGTATGGGAGCAGCCTCCAGAGCAGCCGCTGCGAGATTGCTGACCTCAACGTGCGCATCCAGAAGCTCCGGTCCCAAATCGTCTCTGTCAAGAGCCATGTGAGTGTGTGTAGGACCCACAGGGGTGAGGCTGGAGGAGAGCACTCAGGCTCACACTCATGCACACTGAGCACACTCACAACCTGATGAGAGACCCTGAGCAGGCCAATGAGGGCCGCTGTGCACAGCATGCTTAGGTGTTCGCGAGGATCACATGACTCCACACAGAAACAAGCTCTGTGAGCTGGCCAGAGCTGCTGGGACGGCGGGGAGCCCCCCGCACGCACACCCAGAGCCCATTGCCTCCCTCCTACCTGACTCAGCCATACTGAGAAAGGAATAGAGGCCTAAGTCCCAGCCACCCCAAGCAAAGCTGGGGCAGTCCTGACTACACGATTTCGCTCTAGTCAAGAAAAGGGCCTCAGCAGGACTAACTGAATTCCTGCTTGCTGCATTGCAGCCCAGGATGCACCCAGGAGCGCCACTGCGTGGCCTTCATACACACATCCGTGCGTACATGTGCGTGCACACACACACACCATCAATGACAGAGGTGACTGCTGGCCCCAGCCCATGCCCCTGACTTCTTGCTCACCACCTTCTCCCTTCTGCCTTTTGGGCTGCAGTGCCTGAAACTGGAGGAGAATATCAAGGCAGCCGAGGACCAGGGCGAGCTGGCCTTCCAGGATGCCAAGGCCAAGCTGGCCCAGCTGGAGGGCGCCCTGCAGAAGGCCAAGCAGGACATGGCGCGGCAGCTGCGCGAGTACCAGGAGCTCATGAACGTCAAGCTGGCTCTGGACATTGAGATCGCCACCTACCGCAAGCTGGTGGAGGGCGAGGAGCACAGGTGTGGGGCCAGGCAGGCTGGGTGGGCTGCAGAGGGAGGGCTGTGGTCCCAGGCCCGCACAGGCAGCCTCCTCTAGCTTAACATAGTGGGCCTGGCGGGCCCGCATTCCAGACCTGGTTCAGCATCTCCTGGGATCTTGGCCTAATTCATTAAACTCTCACTTTCCCCTCTGGAAAGTAAGCTGACATAAACATGGCTTACCTGTTGTGAGGAAGGTTAATGTGATTGTGTGTGCAAATACACATCTATATATATATGTATATATGTATATGTATATATATGTATATATATGCATTTGCATGCAGATGTTAGCCATCTATACAGAGGAAAGAAGGGGCAGGGCTGAGCTGGTAGCCAGCGCCTCACAACCGGGCCACCCCAGAGCTGGAGGTGATAACCAAGAATTGCCCTGTACTTGCCAGCCTCCAGGCCCCCACCCCAAAGGAGCTAAAGCTCCAGGCCCCCTTCACATTCTGCGTATTCTGCCTCCCCCAGGATGGACCTGCCCTCGGCCACCACCACCGTGGTCAACACCATGCAGTCCTGGCCCAGACCCGGTGAGTCAGCTTATCCAAGAGCCCATGGTGGGGAGGGGCACCAGGTGAAGGGGGTCGTGACTCCAAAGGCATCATTTAAGTGGCTCCCAAACCTCCAGCCCCTTCCCTCCCCTACCCCTTGTGTCACCTGTAGCTACCTCCAAGCCAGGCCTCTCCAAGGCCCCCTCGAGAAGGAAGAAAAAGAACCGCAGAGGCCCCGTGATCCAAATCACCGAAATGTCAGAGAAGTACCTCTCTCAGGAGTCGGAGGCCTCAGAGTAAGGCAGCTGGACCCCAGGAGCCCCAGGACACTCCAACTCCAGTGGGAGGGACTTAAACTAGACTCATAAAAGCACCCAGAAACCTCCAGGTTGGGAGGGGAGACGAAAACCTGATACTGAACTGAGAGAAGCCAGGGTTCCAAACTGGGACTGCTATTTTGTGGATGGCCAGGCTGAGAGGTAAGCGTCACCAGCTCCACTCCAGCATCATCAGTCCTCTCTTCCAACCTGCTGGTCACAGGCTTTCCCAGCTGGGTAAACTGGAACTTATGGGGCCAGTTTATGTCCACCTTCCCACTGCTCCAAGGCTCTTCCTCCAACATAGGGCTCTCACCAAGGTACTTTGACTCTTTTGCCCAATGCTTGCCCTAAACTCCTCTCTCAAGCCTTGCCTTGCCTCTGCCTCAGAAGTGAGGCTGGTGCCCATTCCACCTGCCCAGGCTATGAGCTGGGCTAGGAGGACCACTTGGGCCCTATCCCATGTCTGGACTTCACGGGGAGGCTGGTGCTAAGGACCGTTGGCTCCCCAGACATCTGACAGTATTAGGGAGTAAGGGGAGGTGGGGCCCTGGCCACTCGAGACCTGAACCTGGACAGCCTTAGATCACCCTGGACATCTGTGCCCTGCTGTCCTCCTGTGGGCCTCTCCCAGGAGACCACAGTAAGAACCAGGCACCTCCAGCCAGCTCTCCCACCTCTCCAGAAGCTGCTGCAGCCATGGTCACCTCCTTGCGCTTCTGGGATTCATCAGAGACTGGGACCTGAGCTCTCTGCCCCCAGCCCAGGTCTCTCCCAGCCTCAGCACCTGGCTTTGGTGCACCAGGTCCTGCAGACTCCTAGCCCCATCCTTGTGGTGAAACCCCAGCCCATTTTCCCTGACTTCCACTTCTCAGGGCCCTATTCTCCTCCCTGCTGGGTCAAACAGCCTGACCCTCCCCTCTGCATTTACTGAGGAACCCAGGACACCCACCCTAAGGACTTCATCTTCTCTTCCTCCTCCTCTGGCCCCCTCTCCCTCCTCATGGCCACACCCCTGCCTGTAGCTAGCCAGGAGGAAGGCACAGTCCAGGCAGATCTGGGAGCTTCTGAGCCCCACTTAGGCTGGGAAGCCCCAATGTCTCCTTAAAAGGGCTCAACCAAAGAGAAAACTTCTAATCCAACAGGAAGACCTGGGGTTGGTAGGAATGTTCCTGTTCCCCTCTCTGGGGGGACCTGGCAGGGTCAGCCTCAACTCAAGGCACTTCCTCTCTCCCCTTCCCTTCCCCCAACCTACCCCTTCCCTTGCCTCCTCTTTTAGCCTGTCTCTGATCCCTTCATCTCATTTTCCAGGACAGGGTGGCCTAAGGCTTTGGCTTTGCCTAATCCCCTGGGGCAGGGATGGGGTGCTGATGGGCCACCAAATCTCTCAAGCCAAAGGGAACTGGGCCAGGTTTTCATCCATGATGTCCCCAAAGAGGTTGCTGATTGCTGCTTTCTCTCGGGCTATTTATTGGTTTCCAATGGAGCAAATCCTCAGTGGGATATGAGATATATAAAATATATATTATTTTTTCATAACTTATATGGCTTTTAACTTATTGCTTCCCTTCCTGTTTCTGCACAATCAGTGCTCTGTATACTAACTGGACCTTAGACAACACATAATCCCAGCCATCCCACCCTTCTGGATATGCCCCCACTCCCCGCCAAGGGATGAATAGTGTTGAGATTTTGTCCATGGATGAAACTGTGTGTCTGTTTTATCTCATCCCTGAGGATGAGTCAGTCACTGGAAAACCAGATTGATCATGGGATGGTATAGATTCCTTTCATGTCATGTGAAGGAGGTCAAAGATCTCTACCAATCTGTCCTTAGGTGTGCTTCTCAGCTGGTTCTAGGGACCACACTAACACAAGACAGTGTCACAACAGAGAGTTCTGGGCGAAGGGGAGTAAGTTCCAGAGGAGTTCCCTCCAGGTAAATGGAGGGTGTTCAGCTAATGGGGAAAGTTAGTAAGTAAGTAGTTAGTAAGTTCTGTACACTGACCCATGGCACAGGGACCCCCAGGCACTGGGTTATCTCCTCCCACTGGTCCGGGAAGGCAGTGTCCTCACAGGAGTGTGTCAGGTACTACTGGAAGGCCTTCTTCTCCCTTGGAATCATCACTGTCAGGCTGGGGCATTGGGGGCCTTATGTTGATAACTCCCCCGATCAGCACCATGAAGTCCCCAGGTGGCATCAGCAGTCACTGGGACTGAGGTTGTGTGGTCTTGGGCCCGTACCCCCCAGGAGTATGCAGTACCAGCCTCATCAATTTGTTGTGAAGCTTTAGAGAGATGATATGTGGTGAAAGAATTTGGCACGATGCCTGGCACCTAGTAAGTGCTTAATAACAGCAGACACTAATTTTGAGAACCTTGCCACTGTCCCCAGTGGAGCTGAAATCTGCCCCCTCCCTGGCCCAGGGGACCTGACTTTTGGCCCAACTTCACCTGCTCTCCTCCTCCCCAGAAGAGGCAGGGCTCAGATACATGTTTGGGGAAAGCTGAGGATTAGAGTAAGGGAAGTGATCCCACCCTTCCTCTTTCCTCTGGAGCTTTCTGCCCAGGGCACATTCCACCAAGGAAAAGTCAAGTCCCTCCAGTCTGCCTGTGCCACGGTGACTACTGCCCTCTGCTGGTGGTGGCCAGACCAGCACTTTCCTGGAGAGCTAGACTGCCTTCTCTCCTAGAGGGAAGAAAAGAGGTGGGGTGGTGTTTCAAACTCAACTTGAAGGGGAATTTCTAGGCAAACGGATATATTTCGAACTAAACTGGACAATTATGAGTTAACTGTGTCATTAAGCGACTATGGGTAACTAGGTAACCATGCTCTTTGTAGAATGTCCCTGAGTAGCCACAACTTCTGTAATTTGTCACCACAGAAGCCTAACGAACTCAGAAGGTCCTGCCAGAAGTCTTTGCTCTGCCCCTCTCCACTGCTCTGCTTTGTCTAAACTTTTCTTCTGCACCTCCTGCTTGCAACCCTACAGAACTACTGGGCCGCCGATATTCTGGACCTGACTTCTTTGGGAGTGATCCCCGTCAGGCCTGGCGATGTAATAAAAGAGTTGTACACTGCCTTCTGCCTCCCTGGGTGTCCTTCTTTCCCAGATTCGGTTCGCTACAGCACACTTAGGACTCTGGATCCCTCACACTTGGCTCTAGACCCCTAGGGCTGAGCCTACTCTCACCTCACCCTGCACTCCCCTCCCTGGGGAGCTGTCACAGCCCACTGACCTCAGCCTCTGGCCCTCCCTTCAGATCTGGCTCCCCACTTTTCAGGTCTAGGTCAAACGTCAAGTCATCCAAGACCTTCCTAAATGTCCCTCTAAGTAGCCCCACCTGTCTCTGATACAGGACACAAGGAATCTTGCCTCAGTGACGCCAGAAATTAAAACTGAGGCAATAACATGAATTCACAAAAAGCTTCAACTAAGAAAGAAGAGAAAAAGGAGAAAGGATTTGAGCTTGACAGGAAGAGAGTAAAGTGGGCACAAGTCTGACAGAGAAGAACAGACTGGCCCATTAGCCAAAGAATGGGACTGGCTTTTTATGGCTTCCCTGAGGAGAGCTAGGAGCCAGCAATTTTTCACTGAATCATGAGTACCACATTTTTCCTTGCGTTTTAGGAGCCTTCCTCCCTACAGGATGTGTATTGGGCCATCTCACCCTTAGAGACATCCTGCTATGTCTGTTCTCCTTCCCCTTGCACAGCGGACCTGGTCCCTGTAATAAGGTGGGGGGGGGTGTCGCAGTTCATACATGGTTAGCAAGGGCAGACAGGGAAGAAGAGACACGTCTTCCCCTTTAGCGGGTAACAGGTCATGGATTAAGGCCTGAGAATCCCTCCATCTCTTGTTCCCCACAGGGATCTCTGTCTTACTTCATTTCCATACATCTCTGTTTCCTGCCTTATCACTGCCCTGGGCTGCTAGGCTGCACCTGGCCAAACCCGCATGCTGCCCATTGAGTTTTCCCAGGTACACCAGGTGGCATACAGTCTGGAAAGGAGAATCCAGCAGAGAGATTCAGGGCAGGAATTGGGAGCTGGAAGGGCAGAGGGTGAGGGTGATATCTGTAACGTCCTGGATTAGAAACACAGGAGACAAGACCAGCCTTAGCCTAAAAGGGGAGGCATACCCAGCCCCGGGGCCCCAGGCAGGGATGAGGGGCCTGGTTCTTGGACTTGGAGGCTGCAGGACTGGAGAGAGTAAAAGTTTTTCCCTTGATTAATAACAGCTGGAACTTGAAGACTGGGTGATTGTCCTGACAAGGTGGCCCAATCTGAGTGAGCCTCCAGGAGGTGGGCAGAAGCGCCACATTGTGCGGCGGCAGGAGTGGGGGGAGACGTCTGCAAGTCCCCTGCTAGGGCTCTGTGTTCAGAATCAACAGACACTGCCCCTTCTCTGTTAGCTTTCTTATTCTTCTAGTGTTTTCAAGTAGAGAAACTTACCCCACTACATCCCCACTCAGGTACGTGATTTGGGTGGGTGTCACTATAGCCACTCAATTTCTACCCCAAACAGAGCCAGAAGTCAGGTGTGGTGACACACACATGAGACCTCAGCACTCGAAAATGCCGAAGCAGGAGGACTGCAAGTTCAAGCCCCACTGGGCAACTTAGCAACTTACCAAGACTCTGTCTCAAAAGTTAGTAAACAATACTGGTGTGGTGGTGCTCACTGTAATCCCAGCACTCAGGAGGCGAGGCCAAGAAGACTGCTACGAGTTTGAGCCCAGCCTGGGCTACATACTGAGTTCCAGGACTACCTGAACTACATAGTGAGACCCTGTCTCAAAAGAAAAAAAAAGGTAGGAAATAAATAAATGGCTGAGGGTATAGCTCAGTGTGAAAGCCCTGGGTTCAAACCCCAGTAGAGCAAAAGAAGAAAGAGACAAAACGCTCCTGCCCCCACTCCCAGCTCCCACAGGTGGCACCAGTGTGGCACAGCTGCACCACGGAGGTCCACCACCTCCTGTCAAGAGCCCTCGTCATGACGGGATGGAGTCGCCTCACACCGAGCTCAGCACTCCCTTGACAAGCATTTATTGACCCTACCATGTGCCTCACATGCTCTTGACCCTGGGGACAGGACAGTGAACAAATCTGCCCAAAGCCCTGCCCTTGTGGAGCTCACTTCCTGAGAGGAAATACAAACCAGGAAGAAACGTAGTAGTGTAAAATATGCAGCATGGGGAATGCTGAGAGCAGGGCCTATTCACAGGGATGTCAGGGAAATTCTCCCAGGAAATGGGGCAGCAATAAACAGAAGGAGGTGAAAGGAGCCATGCGGCAGCCTGGGGAAGAGCAAACCAGGCAGAGGGAGAACAAGGGCAAAGGCTCTGAGGCAGGACCCTGCATAGGGGAGAACTGTGGGAGGAAGGAGAGCAGCATTCAGCTGTGCCCTGCCTCGTGGCCATGCTAGACTTCATCTCCAACTGAGAGACTTCGGTGCCAAGGACAGGAGAGGCTGGGTCTGACCTCTGTGCTAAGCAGCAGAGGCCCAGAGCCACACAGAGGTGTCTGGAATGTTCTCAACCTGCATTTGACAAGCAATAAAAGAGAGAAAAGCCTGTTTTGCCCATCTGCTTTTGTTTGTTTATTTTGTTTTGTTTTAGATACGGGGGATTGAACTCAGACCCTGCACTTGCAAGGCAGGCGGCAGAACTACTGAGCTAAATCCCCAGCCCTAGCTGTCTGTTTTTGTCCCATAATTTCCACTTTGAAGAAACAAAGTGAAGTGTGGTTTTCACTGTGATGGTCTGTGGGACACCGCTCCTGCACCGGGGAAGGTGCAGGAAAGCTAAGAAATACTAGCGCTCCCTGAGGCAGAGCCACTGTGTGTGACTTGCCGATCACCATATCCCCTGCCTTGCAAATGGCCTGGCACCCCACAGTGCTCATTAAACATCCACTGAAGGTGGGTGCTGTAACTCCAGAGGTGAAAACTCAGCACCACACCACCCCATACCCGGACAGGCGGAGTCACTGCCTAGGTCTGACCCAAAGTCCCACCCCGCCCTCACTGTCACACACGGTCAGCTTCCTCTGCTTCACCAGAGGGGTGTGCAGGCTTTGGGGTCACCGACCCGGAGAGCCCTCTGGGGGGGGGGAGGCTGTCCCCGGGGTTCTCTCTCTAGAGAGAGTGGGAGCAAGTTGAGTGTGCCCCACCCCCCACCCACCCCCACACACAGGTGGGTGTGTACCTATGTTTCAACCCCACCTCTTTTTTTTTCATCCCCACCTCCTGACTCCTGTCCCTGCCTGTGCCGCAGCTCCCCACATCCGCAGGCTCTGAGCGCCCCCTACCGACCGCTGTCCCATCCACCCTAATCCTGGGGATTCAAGCAGCGCCAAGAGCAGTTTGACTTTGGCCTCATCCCTTCCCCAAATGCTGTGACCCATAGGGGAGGCAGCATTCCCATCTTGGGCTTCCTGGTCCTTCTGTTCCCCCTGGGGTAGGGGAGGATCGCCTGGCACGAAGATATGCAGACAGGGCACAGGCATGTCTTCCCCAGCCTGGGGCCCCCGCAGGCTCCCTGGAGCGCCTCTCTATGTACTGGGAGCTGAACTGGAAAGACACAGGTAGAGAGGAAAGAACCAGGCCTCGGGGACAGAGTGTCTTCTGCTCCTGCCCCTGGCTTCAATCTCTCTCCTCCCATTGCCCTTTCGTCATCATCCCCCACACCTGCCAAGCTGCCCTTCAAAATGCCCTTCCTTCAAGCCCTCCGAAGGCCCTGTGCCACCCACTAGGCCAATGCAGTCTTCCCATGGAGCT